GCGTTCACACCTTTGTATGGTGTTTAAGAGTGTGGACCTTGGAGTAATTTGGTTAATTTCAGTTGCAATAAAGCAGACCTTTGTGCCGATTGTGCTTAATGCCCTTTATAATAAAAACTTGGTCTTCCATGGAAAAGCTTGTTTGTGTTTGCAGATAACTAGTTCTACAGATTCCAGAGTAGCAGCCGTGTTAGTCTGTATTTGCAAAAAGAAAAGGAGTACTTGTGGCACCTTAGAGACTAACAAATTTATTTGAGCATAAGCTTTTGTGAGCTACAGCTCACTTCATCGGATGCATAATATACTATTCTAAATAATGTACTTTCATATACTATTCTGATGTTCCCCTTTGGTGTTATTTGGACCGGTGATCTGCTAGGTCACTCCAATCCTTGACATTGGGAGCCAGCCTTACCCTGCTCTGCTGTGAGAACCCGCATTCCTGGGCTGTTCACACACAGCCTCTGGCACGTAAGCTGCTCCCAGCTACTTGCAACTGAATGACACTAGCCAATATCTCTGGTCCCAGACACAACCCTAGGAACCTCCGTCTTGCAGTGTCCAGTTATGCCAGCTGGACGCTGCAAGCTTATATGAGTTCATCAGTTTAACAAAGAAATTGATACCTACCAGGCTTGTTATCCCAAGGGGAGCCTCTGACATGCTTTAAACCAAACACACTGCTTCAGGTAGAACAAACAAACGAATGTATTAACTATAAAGATTATAAGTCAAAGCATACCAAGTCAGATTTGGTCAAAAGAAATGAAGGGTTCTGTTATTTGTTCAGATGCAGAACTCTGCCGGCTACCAACTGGGACAGTTTCCTTAATCCCTGCTCCTCCTGCCCCTGCGCCTGAGGGCATGTTGCCTTCTGCTGGAAAGGAGCTAGTCTCAGCCCCTCCCATACTTGAACAGGTGCCACAAGGAAAATAGCAGAACACCACTGGCCATCACTTACAACCTCCAGCTAAAACCTCTCCAGCACATTATCAACGATCTACAACCTATCCTGGAAAACTATCCCTCACTCTCCCAGACCTTTGGAGACAGGCCAGTCCTCGCTTACAAACAGCCCCCCAACCTGAAGCAAATACTCACCAGAAAGTACACACCACACCACAGAAACACCTACCCAGGAACCAATCCCTGTAGCAAACCTCATTGCCTACTTTATCCCCATATCTACTCTAGCGACACCATCTGAGGACCCAACCACATCAGCCACACCATCAGAGGCTCATTCACCTGCACATCTACTAATGTTATATATGCCATCATGTGCCAGCAATGCCCCTCTTCCATGTGCATTGGCCAAACCGGACAGTCCCTACGAAAAAGAATAAATACACACAAATCGGACATCAGGAATGGTAACATACAAAAGCCACTGGAAGAACACTTCAATCTTCCTGGACATTCTATAACAGATTTGAAAGTAGCTATACTTGAACAAAAAAACCTTCAGAAACAGACTTCAAAGAGAAACAACAGAACTAAAATTCATTTGCAAATTTAACACCATTAATTTGGGCTTGAATAGGGATTGGGAGTGGCTGGCTCATTACACAAGCAGCTTTGCCTCTCCTGGAATTGACACCTCCTCATCTATTGTTGGGAGTGGACTACATCCATCATGATCAAATTGGCCCTGTCAACACCGGTTCTCCACTTGTGAGGTAACTCCTTTCTCTTCATGTGTCAGTATATTTATGTCTGCGTCTGTAATTTTCACTCCATGCATCTGAAGAAGTGGGGTTTGTACCCACAAAAGCCTATGCTCAAATAATCTGTTAGTCTGTATCCACAAAAACAACAAGGAGTCCGGTGGCACCTTAAAGACTAACATGGCTACCCCCTGATACTTGCTTCCCTGTGTTACAGAGTCACAGGAATCCTCACTCACCTCAGTGGTTTCTGAGATCCCCTGCCCCTTATGGGCTCTCCTCTGGGACACATTTCTTTATGCTCCCTAGAGCGGGGTTAATCTCTGGTTCAGCTGCAACCTGCTGGCAGCTAACAACCTGGACAGTTCTCTCCCTGGCAGGCATAACACCCCCATCCCTTCCTGATGTGGTGTTGCCTCCAGTTGCAGTGCAGAAGTTGGTCTCAACCACCCTCCCAGCTGGAAGCACACTGCTTCCCTGTGTTATAGAGTCCTAGCAATCCTCACCCACCCAAGGTTTCTGAGATTCCTTGTCCCTTCTCTGGGCTCTCCCCTGGGACACATTTCTCTCTCTCCTTTTCTTCCATAGCCCTTCTGTGTGCAGTCTCTTCTTCTTTGAGCCTCATTTCTGCCTGCCACATTTGAAACTCGCGTGCCTTTGCCGTCTCTTCTGCCTCCAGTCTGGCCAGCTCTAGTTTTGTAGCAGCCTCACTGGTAGCCATTTTTCTGCTTTCTTGTGCTTATTTCCTTCACCGGAAATAAACAGAAAATAATAAAACTGTGACCTCCTCCTCACTGTTCTTAGCCACTGCACTTAAGACTCACTTAAAATCACAAATATCAGTGCTTAAAGCATGAACTTCACTTGGAGTAACAAGCCATACATACACCCTGCTTGCTGAGCCACTGTGACTTCCCCTCTGGTGTCATCTGGATGGGTGATCTGCTAGGTCATTCCAATCCTTGACTCTGGGAGCCAGCCTTACCCTGCTCTGCTGTGAGAACCCGCATTCCTGCGCTGTTCACACACAGCCTCTGGCATGTAAGCTGCTCCCAGCTACTTGCAACCGAATGACACTAGCCAATATCTCTAGACCCAGACATAACCCTAGGAACCTCAGTCTTGAAGTGTCCAGTTAAGCCTGCTGGACGCTGCAAGCTTATATGAGTTCATCAGTTTAACAAAGAAATTGATACCTACCAGGCTTGTTATCCTATGGGGAGCCTCTGACATGCTTCAAACCAAATGCACGGCTTCAGGTAGAATAAACAAACAAATTTATTAACTATAAAGATAGATTTTAAGTGATTATAAGTCAAAGCATAACAAGTCAGATTTGATCAAATGAAATACAAGCAAAACGCATTCTGAGCTGATCTTAACCCTTTCAATGCCCTTACAAACTTAGATGCTTCTCACCACAGGCTGGCTGGTTGCTCTTCAGCCAGGCTGTCCCCTTTGATCAGCACTTCAGTCGTTTGGTGTGATGTCTGTAGATGTAGGTGGAAGAGAGAGAGAGAGCATGGCAAATGTCTCTCCCATTTATCATGTCCTTTCTTCTCTCTTGGCTTTGCCCCCCCGCTCCCTTCAGAGTCAGGTGAGCATTACCTCATCGCAGTTCCAAACTGACCAAAGGAAGGGAGGTGACTCTCTCGAGAGTCTAAGGGCTTGTCTACACCATGCAGCTTTTGGCGTCAAGGCAGAGTTGACACAGCCTTGTCGCTAAAAGTCAGCATGGGTAAATGCTCTTTGTTGGTACTTCGTCGGCACTTTTGCCAACAAAATATTTCCAGCCCTGCGAGCTGTGTTAGCTTTGTTAGCAGGAGAGAGCTCCTGCCAACAAAGCTGCATTCACACGGTCACCTGTGTCAGCAAAACTTTTGTCTTTCGCAGGGGGGGCTTTTTTTAAGTACCCATGAAAGACAAAAGTTTTGTCAATAACTTTGCCGTGTAGACATACCCCAACAGATTCTTTTGTTGCTGCCTAGGCCAGCATTTTTTGTTCCTGTGAGGCTGGGCTGGGTTTGCCCCATACCTGCCCAGATAAGATGTGAACTGCCTCTCTGCTCTTGGAGAGTTTTTGTCTGGGCTTGCTTTGAGCCATAAGGATACATTTTCAGCCTCATAACTATATACATGAAATTATAACCCATAACATAACTATAACATCACTGTAACGACAATGCTCAGTACATCTTGAGGCTTCTGAAGACACCCAACATGACACTTTGCATTGGCTACCACTCAGTCATTTTACAAGAATGAACATGGGGGTGCTGGGCGTTCCCCCGAGGTACAGAGTGTCACAACTCTAGAGACAGAAAGCTCTCAAAAGGATGGGCTTTCTTTTCTGGTCATAAACTGCACGCACAACACTTAATCCACAATTACATTGCAGTTGCAAATCAAGTAGTTTAGTGGCCTTGACTGCCTCTGCAAATAATTTTGCAGGCACAGAATTAAAAATTCCAGTTTTGTGGGTACAGATTACATCTGGAAAATGGAGCCTAAGTCTCAGCTTTGTTGAAAACATACCCCCACTTGTGAGCTCAACATTGAAAATGCCACAGCTGTGAAACTTGTTTTGTGGAACTGCTTTCCTTTAAATTGCAAAGGAGCCCAAGGGAGTTAGAAAGCTATTGAAATTCCAGGGGAGTTGGGGTCATGACTCCCTTAGTCTCCATTGAAAATCTCAACTGCAGACCAAATAGAGTGGGATTTTCAAAATTGTTCAGGGCTGGTGTGGTTCTTCTCCCAACAATACTGACATCAGTGGGAAGAGAGTTGAACCACCCCTGAGTGCTTTTGAAAATCCCACCTAATAAGTCCTTGTTTTAGGACCTAACACTTTAAGCCATAAAAGTCAACAAGCTCACTCTTTAAGCAAAGAAATAATTGACCACTTGCTTGCGTAAGAGTACCCTGTCCTATGGCAATTATCCTTTTAGGTTAAGTACTGGTATATTGTAGGACTACGTATCAAAATATTAGTATTTCCTAGTCTTCATTTGGATTTGAAAAAAAACACACATTTATGGGGTCAGGTGTGAAGCAACATTACTACAAGAAGATAAACAAATTTATGATACTAGCAACTTTTAGTAAGCTCTGGAGAGTAAAGAAACAGAATCCACTATAAATCAAACTCTGTTTTATACTTCACAATTTGGGAAATGCTTGATCAGAACTCCTCTTAGAGTCAGATGTCTTTTGGTTCCTTTTTCTGTCTGAAAAGGCAATGTACTTTCTGTTGGGTAAGTACAATATTACATAAGTCTCACAGACATTTTATAATTAGCCATCTCCCTAATTAAAACCATTTTGTTTTATAAGGTTACTGCTGCTGGCAGCACCTCTCATGAAAAGGACAGTGTCAGTCTAATAAAGACCATCCACAAGACAAGCAGCAAGGTTTGTTAATCTACTAATTTACTTAATAAATAATGTATTTACAATTGGGAGTAGAGTGTAAATTTTTAGGATTTGCAATGCTAGTCTTGGGCTTGCAAGAAAGCAACATGATGTGAAAAGACAGGGAAGAATTAGTTGCATTATTAAAAGGCCAGGTCACACTCTTTGGTGAACCCTTTATGCTTGAGAAGTTGAAGGGAAGAGTGGCCTATTTGCAAAAGTTTTCCATCAGGTACCTGCCCCCTTTGTATCTAAGTGCCGAATTTGTTCTTATGGCTGCGCCTGTTAGTATGCAGTGATGCAAGGAGAAATCATTTCTTGCCAATACTGCACTTATGGGAGGGACACAAAGGGGCGCACATGACCTCCCCACGTGAGCCTCTATGTGACTCCTCCCAGCCTGGGGCCCCCACCCTCTCTCTGTCCCCTCTGACACCCCTCTTACCTGTCTAAAATTTTACAACTGCATCTGTTAAACAGTTCTGTTGAAAACTTTAATGATTTTAAAATATTAGGTTTATACTCCGACTTCTTATATTTATAAAATAGTTTAATCATAAAAACAAAATCTGCAATTCACAATCTATTGAGAGAGTCATCTCCCACTTTTGTGACCTGAATACATTGTTATACCAACAGGGGCTGGATCTTTATCTGTCAGACAATCTTCGTCCTCTACGGCGTACAAAAAGGAGATGGATTATAACCACCTTTGAACTTGAAGAGGAGGACAAAGAACCATTCCCCAAACTTGTGGGAGAGGTAAAACAAAAGCTCTTAGCAAGGATATTCCTACTTTCCTCTATAGAATACATTCCATTGGAGATTGGGGCCTACAATGTAATGGGGTGGAGAGGCTGCCACTCTTCCACTGTGGAGCATGATTGGTCCTCATTCGAGAGACTGGTACCTTCCTTCCACACCACATAAGATAGAAACATAAGAATTGCCACAGCAGGTTGGACGAGTGGTCCATCTAGGCCAGTATTCCTTCCCTGACAGTGATCATCCCCAGCTGCTTCAGAGGAAGAGAAGAAACCCATGGAAAACTCAGGAAAAAGTATCCATAGGAGTTGTTTCTTCCTATGAGTTAGCGTTAAGTACATTAGAGTTTACGTGGAGGAGAAAGTCCAATAGAAAACTAAAGTCTTTGTCTGTTCCTTATTTGATTAACATTTTGGTCTTTTTTAAAAAAAATTGTTTCTAATTCATGATAGGACATTGCCTCTCATTCCATGGCTACTTAGTCTCCTTAATAGCCTTTTGAAGGGATTTTGTCAAAGACTTTTTGAACGTCCAACTGGTTCTCCTTTATCTGCTGTTTTTTTTTTTCTGGACACACTAAAAGAATTGTGGTAGAGAGGTTTGATATTCCTTTACAGAAGCGGTGCTGGTTTGTCCCTGTTGTATCATGTTCATCTAGGCATTCTTTATAGTATTCATCTATTTTTAATTGTATTTTCAACAAGAGTACTTGATAATGAAGTAAGGTTCACTAGTCTGTAATTCTCAGGTTCTCAGAGTGATCATATCTTAAAGATAGGCATAACTTTTTGCTGTCCTCAGTATCTGCTTTTACAGTTGCTGCTTTTGATGAGTGATAATAGATTTTTGGTAACAGCTCATACCCTTTGTTCTTCAGTTCCTTCAGAACACTTGCGTCCAAGTTAACTGGGTCTGGGGATTTGTTGTTCTTTAATTTATGAGTTTGTCCTTGCTCTTAATATATTAGGGTCCAATCCAGCTGGCTTTCTATTAATTTCAATAGGATTTGGATCAAACCCTTAATTACAAAGACTCCATAATTACTTTGAAGATCTCCCACTTCTGGTAAAAATTGCTTCTTTTCAAAAATTGGCATCACAATTTGAATTAACATAGTAGCTAGAAACATCCAATGATATTTACTCTCCCAGAGTGTAGAGTCATATAACCATGACTACAAAAATGTACCAGATCAATATGTTGTCCTGAACTTTTAGCAGTGTTTCTTTAAAACCTTTGAATCCTGGTGCTGAAACTTAATCCTTATGATACAGTTAGCATTTCACTAATACTCCATTTCTTTTGTAGCTGTTCAACAATGTGTCATATAATATGTCCATACGATATTTAATCAGTGGACCTGGTGTAAATGAATCTCCTGAGGTTGGGTTGTTTTCTATAGGAGACGATGCCAAAGGACATGTGTACGTACATCGTACCATTGACAGAGAGAACACCCCCTATTTTAAGGTAAATAGAGTTTAGAAGAACAGTTAAGCATATGGCAACTCTAAATTACTCTCCTAGTGCTAAATGTTTCATGTGAAGGCGAAAATCCAGTAGTAAATTCAAGTCTGTATTTGTTTGTTACTTTCTAGCTTAACTCTTATGATAATAAATATCATAAGAGTTACCATAAATATGTCAATAAATATCTGCATGGCCAATGATCTCCATAAAATTGCTTAAATTATCTAAACATTGATCAGTGTCATTGTCTAGCCTTTGTGTCATGCTTGAAGTTCTGCAAACCCAGAATTTTACTCCTTGCATAGCTACAGTGGCATTGCTATGAAGCAGCATAAGCAGTTCTAAGGAAGCATGGCTGAATAAACATCCTGAAGTCTAAGGTTCTTGTTGTACACCTCATGATAAATATCAATTCTAGCAGCAAAGTATGAGTTGTAAAACCATAAACTATTGGCCTGTAGTACAATCCTATTGCACTGTTACTGTTTCTGGAAGCAAATTTTTGCTGATGTATAAAGGAAGTCAGTGATGAGCTGCCAAAATCTTAACAGCCGGTTCCCTCTTCACCCCTCAAGGGGCTCGTGGCCCACCCCCGCCCCCCGGGACTCCTGCCCCATCCAACCCCCCAAGTTCCTTGACGCCCCCCACCCCGGGACCCCTGCCCCATCTACCCCCCGTCTCGTCCCCTGACTGCCCCCAGAACTGGGCAGGAGGGTCTCGTGGGCCACCGTAGTGGGTGCCCACCCTGGCCCTAAGAGCCAGGGACCTGCCAGGGGGCGAGGTGGGGAGTCCCAGGAAGCATCCGGCAGGTCCCTCTGGCTCCTAGGGGTGGGATAGCATAGCTGGGGGGGGGAGCAGGGGGAGCAGCTGCTCTCCCGACTGATCACATCAAAAGTGGCGCCTTAGGCACTGACTTTGTAGGTGCTCTGGGGCTGGAGCACCCACGGGGAAAATCTGGTGGGTGCAGAGCCCCCACTGGCAGCTGGCCCCTGCTTACCTCTGCTCCGCCTTCTCCTCCTCCCCTGAACGCGCCGCCCTGCTCTGCTTCTTCACTCCCCCGGCTTCCCACGAGAAAGCTGTTCGCGCAGGAAGCCGGGGAGGGCTGAGACGCCAGTGTTGCGCTCAGGTCCAGGGTGGCAGAGGTGAGCTGGGGCGGGGAGCAGTTCCCCTTGCCCCCCCTCCCCCCCCCGCTGGGGTGCAGGCGGCCCTCCTCGCACCCCCCGCCCCAGCTCACCTCTGCTCTGCCTCCGCCTCCCTGGGCCTGAGCGTGAAGCTGCCACTTGCTTCTCAGCCCTCCCAGGCTTCCCGCGCGAACAGCTGATTCGCGGGAAGCTGTGGGGGTGGAGAAGCGGGGCAGCGCTTTCAGGGGAGCAGGCGGAGGTGAGCTGGGGCCGGGCGTGGGGCGGGGAGCTGCTGGTGGGTGCTCTGCACCCAACAAATTTTCTCCGTGGGTGCTCCAGCCCCGGAGCACCCACAGAGTCGGTGCCTAAGGTGCCACTTTTGGCCGGTTGTTAAATTTAGAAGCCCTTTTAGAATTGGTTGTCCCGGGCTTCTAAATTTAACAACCAGTTCCAGGGAACTGGTGCAAACCGGCTCCAGCTCACCACTGAAGGAAGAATTGATACTGGTCAACAGAAAATTCCTTCTCCACTTGTATGCAGATGTCAGAGCTCAGTGTTTAGGTACCATAACCAAAGGATGGCCTCTGTATGCAGGGAGGCTAGGCATTGTGAGCCACCCTCCAGATGTAGAGTTGGGCCCTCTTCTACCACATGAGTTATTGTCTGGAGTGCTGCCCCACAAGCACAGTGTGGAGAGGAACCCAGGCCAAGCTGGTGCATAGTTGCAGCAACTCTGAATGGGCCAGAAAGAAGCCTGCCAAGCCTGGTCCACAATCTACACCATTTCTAACATTCATAAACCAGTCGGAGAACACGTCAATCTCTCTGGTCACTCGATGTCTGATCTCAAAGTGACTATCCTTCAACAAAAAAACTTCGAAAACAGACTCCAATGAGAGACTGCTGAATTGGAATTAAATTTGCAAATTGGATACAATTAACTTAGGCTTGAATAGAGACTGGGAATGGTTGATTCATTATAAAAAGCAACCTATTTCCCCTTGTTTATTCCTGTGCAATTCTGATGGCTAACTTTGTTTCTGTATTGATATCCATTACTCAGATACGTATTGATGTTGCACATAGAGTGACTGGGAAGATAGTGGACAGATCTTTAATTTTCATTATTAAGATTAAAGACATTAATGATAATGCACCCAAGTTTCCCAAGGAGGAATTTAACATTACTATAAAAGAAAACCACAATACAGGTAAGTGCTATCTAAAGAAGCAATTTTTAGTGGCTTGTGGGTTTTTTTCCTCATCTATAGTTTTTATTCCAATATAGATTGGTTTAGGGATCGAAGGAACAATTTTCCATTTCTGTTGGAATCATAAGTAATGTACAGACAGGTCCAAATTCTGTAATCACCTAATAACAGGTACCTACAGACTATCATTATCACATTGCCTTCAGTACCATGGTACATGCTGTTGTTTTCAGGCTTGGGCCCTATAGCAATCCCTTTGCTACTATCACCTCTGATTGCAGTATGGCAATCGGATTTAAGTCTTACCTAAAGGAAGAATTGGTCTGAAATCAGTTTCTTGTAAAGAATGCAGCAAAAAAGGGAATGCAGTTTGGGGAGTCATTTTTATCATGCAGCTTAAATGGTGTTGCAAAGCTTGAGGCTTAAAGTCAGCTATTTTCCTAGACCAGAGAAGGTTCATAATGAAAGCCCTGCATGAAGTGTCTTAGTTTGCATCTGAGAAGCTATAATGCCAAAGTTATTGTCTACATTAACTTTAAATACACAATGGTAGCACGTTATACATAAACACCAAATATCTTTAGCAAAACCTCCAGAGTCCTTGGGTCTGGTACCTTTTTATCAGTCAAAACTTGCACAAAATTGTAGAGAACTTAAAGAGATGGGAAGTAGACAGGGCCAGCTCCAACCTGGAAATAAAAATCCCAGGTCGTACACTGCTGATGTCAATGGCAAAATTCACATTGATTAGTGGGAACAGGTTTAGATCCTTTGTACATAATTCCAATATCCCTTATCTCCATATGTAACACAGTCATTTTCAGCAGTAGAGCTTTCAGTGTTCCTGGCAGGCATTTAGTGGGCTAACTTCTGCTGCAGGACTTGGAAGCTGATAGGGCCCTGGTCCTTACAGGAGGTGCTGAGCATGTTGGAGGACTGGACCCTTTCATCCTTACAGATAAGAACATAAAAGCTGCCATACTGGGTGATATGATGGTCCACCTTGCCCAGTATCATTTCTCTGATAGTGGCCTGTACCAGAGCTTCAGGGGCAATGAAGAGAACAGGATAATTATGGAGTGATCCATCCTGTCTTTCATTCTTGGATTTGGGTAGTCAGAAATTTAAGGTCATCTTGAGTATGGGGTTACATCTCTGACCATCTTGCCAAATAGCCATTGACGGACATATCCTCCATGAACTTATGCAGTTCTTTTTGAACCATGTTATACTTTTGGCTATCAGAACATCCCATGGCAATGAGTTCCACTGGTTAGTTGTGCATTATGTGAAGAAGTACTTCCTCTTGTTTGCATTAAATCTGCTGCTTATTAACTTCATCAGGTGACCCCTGATTTTTGTGTTGTTTGAAAGGATAAATAACACTTCTCTATTCACTCCTTCCACGCCATTTCTGATTTTATAGATCTCTATCATCCTCCCTCAGTCATCTCTTTTCAAAGCTAAGCAGCCCTAATATTTGTAGTTTTTTCCTTGCATGGAAGCCATCTCTGAACCTTTTCCAGTTCCACTAATGAACCAGATGATAAACAAAAAACAGAATGGGGTGTGCTTGGAAAGAACAGTGATGTGAACACACAGTGCGAGGCTGGCTGGCAGCACTGCTAGGTTAGAAACTAATGAATGTTTTGTAAAGAAATACAGAAATTCAATAAATATCTTTATAGTATAGATCTCTCCTTCAAATTTGTGTCCCTAAATGAGCTAGAGTAATTATAACAGCGGGAGAGGAGGCAGGAGCTGCAGAGGGAGAGAAACATAAGTGGCAAATCTCAGTCCAAATGTGGAGAGAATTTGTGGAGGCACAGAGGAGTCTAGTGGATATGCAGAAGGCCTGGGGTAATGAGGGGAGAGTGGAAGTAGTAGAGAGGGATAAAGGTCATTAGGTCCAAGCACATCCCTGTCAGTAGTGAGCTCGTGTAATAAATGCTTCAATTCGTCATCCTAGATGAGCCAGTTTTCCAAGTGACAGCCCTTGACAAAGATGAAGAAGACACGGCTAATTCTCGGGTGACCTATTCTCTTACTACACAGACACCCAATCTGAAAGAGCCCAGATTTAACATCGATCCTACCAGTGGTTTGATAGTGATTTCAGGATGCTTGGATTATCAGGTGAAGTACATAATATGATATATACTTGCCATGTGTAAATTTAGGTTCATATAGGAATCTGTGGAGTAGGGAGAGATTCACAAGTATAAATAGTTTAAAGGATCAATTTTGTAGCAATGACCAGACACTTTTTCCTAATCTATATTTTGGAAGTTAATTAACTTGTTTTTCAGACTGCCAGCTCTTTCAAACTTCTGATCAAAGCCAGAGACCATGGTACCCCACAAATGTCATCTCCTGCAACAGTTAACATTGCCATTGAAGATACAAACAACCACCTGCCTGTGTTTACCAAGGAAAATGTAAGGAAAAAGGGCAGCTACTTTACTGAACCATTCCAAGATGAAGAAATTTCAATCCTGCCAGGTGCCGGATACGCTCAATGGCAAATTAAGAGTGCTTGGCACCTTGCAAGATCAAGCTAAAGTATATATGGATGTGGGTTATTAACACAACAGCACTAAGATTTGGGGGTTGTGATGGATACTCAGCTGAACATGAGTTCCTAGTGCGACACTGTGGCCAAAAAAGCTAATGACACGCATAAACAGGGGAATCTCGAGTTGGAGTAGAGAGATTATTTTGCCTCTATATTTGGCAATGTGTTACTGCTGCTGGAATACTGTATCCAGTTCTGGTGCCCACAGTTCAAAAAGGATGTTGATAGATTGGAGTGGGTTCAGAGAAGAGCCATGACAATGATTAAAAGCTTAGAAAACCAGCCTTTAGTGATAGACTTAAGGAGCTCAATCTATTTGGCTTATCAAAGAGAAGGTTAAGGGGTGATTTGATTACATTCTATAAGTATCTATCTGAGGTAACACGTATATAATAATGGAGTCTTTAGTCTAGCAGAGAAAGGGATGATACGGCTGGAAGTTAAAGCTAGATAAATGCAGACTGGAAATAAGGCATACATTTTTATTGATGAGAGTAACTAAGCATTGGAACAATTCACTCCATTACTGACAATTTTTAAATCAAGATCAGATGTTTTTCTAAAAGATCTGCTCTAGGAATTATTTTGGGCCTGTTATATAGGAGGTCAGACTAGATGATCAGAATGGTCCCTTCTGGCCTCGGCATCTATGACTGGCAATAGAAATCTCATAAGTGTTGACAGGAAGACAATTGACAGGATGTCATCAATTTCAGTGGATTCCCGTGTACTGATATTGGCTCCTCTAAAAGTTTTTGTGCCATTTCTGTAATTAGGTGCTATTAAAACAGAATTTACATGTTGTAGAAAAGTGGACTCACTGCTGTCACGCCCTCTTTTGGCTGGGCATGGCATAGCGGGCTCTCCTCATCTGGTACCCCTTACCAACAGCCTCTCCGACCCTGCAGCAGTCTGAGTCTTCTTGTGACTCAACCCTCTGGCCAGGCCACATTTAGTCCCATGCCTTCTGGAGTAACAGAAAGTCTGATAAACAACAGAGCGGCAGCCTCAAGCCAAGTCTCCGTCCCAAGTCCTAACAAAGTAGTCCTTCCACACGTGGTCTCCAGGACCTTTTCTGGGGCCCAGTGTGAAACCAAGACCCTCCTTCCTCTCTGGGTTCAAGTCTAGGGACCCTGAAGAAAGCAGCCAAGCTCCATCTACTCAGATTCCTTGCTGCTTCCCCAGGACCACTTCCAATCTTAGCCTGTCCACAGACTTTTCCCACCAGCCCCTTTCTGCGCTCACTGTGCACTTGCATGCCTCTCAGGCACCCGCTTCTTTCAGGGCTGTGGCTTGTAGGATTCTTCCCTGGAGTTCTTCACCAAATCCCAAACCAAAAGTACATTCTGACTCACTTCCATCTCTCCCAGGCTTGAACGTTAGTCCTTCACAGGTCTTCCCTGGTACTTACTTTTCAGCTGAACACTGACACCCCAGCGCTGCCTCCCAGGAATCTTGCCTCCATTTTGAGATGCACCACACAAACTAACTCCCCTCCTGCAGCTTTTCCCAATTCTCCTCTCTCCTGACTTCTATCAAACCATTCTCAGAGAGCAGGAACTCCCAGCCTCCTCTCTCCTGGCTCTCCCTCTGAGTTTTCTCAGTCCTGACTCTTTTCCAGGTGGATCTGCTAATTGACCTACTTAGCACCCCTCTTGGTTCCAGCTCCCAGGCTCTTGTTAATCCACTCAGTGCCAGTGTGGGGTTTACATTCTCAAATGCATGTTATAGAGTCAATTAATTTTAATATAGCCAAGAACCGGAAATGTTGATTGTGAACTGCTTACATAAAACAATTCTGGTTGTGATCCATAATGCCTTGTACCCCTGGCTACTTATGAACCCTCTGTATATCCCATTGTGGTAGTTAAGTTTTGCCGAGTTGTTTCTACTGTCAGTTCAGAGGATAAAACTCTCTCTAGTACCAGCAGCAGGGTGCTCTCAGGAGGGGGCTTGCTATGACAGTGGGGCCAATGAACCAAGCTTGCCTAAAGGAAAGTGACTGTTAAAAGGGCTATGGATTAATGAACAATTACCTTAGAATTCTGGAAAAGAGCTCAAACTTATGGCCAGAGTTAGTCTGAGGAAGATCTGATGTGTGATGAGAACCTTGTTTGTGAACTGGACGTGTTGATATGTATCTAGGCTGGTTTCTGAGTAAAGATTATTTTAGGTAGACGTAGTTCCTGGAAGACTCTGGAAGGAGCATAGTGCACAGCCTAACCTGAGGGCTTTATAAAAAACCCAGAGTGATTTTGAGGAGAGTGGGGCCAGTTTGGGTGCTTATTGTTTTGTTTCAGAATCAGGATCTTCCCTTTCCTTTGTTTTTTTTCTTTCTTTCTTTCTGCTGAGTTACGAGTTTTACCAGGCTGATTACAACCTACTGGCATGCAGGCTCAATGTTATTTGTGTTTAACAATGCATCCTCCACTGTTGTGGGTCTGGAAAGGATCAAATGCGTTCTCTGCTGGACCTGAGGCTGGGAGAGAGGCTACCTCGTCCAAGAACTAAGGAAGTCCAGAATTCTTCTCCTGAAGCAGGCTTCCTGCCCTCTAAGGGACCAGAAATACTCTCTGCTTGAGAAGAAGCCATGACTTCAGTCTGAGCTGACAGTAATTATAGCCACCCACCTACCACCCAATCTGCAACCAGCACGCTGTTTCCATTTCCCCTCTGCTGTCTCCTCCTTTGTTGTTTGGTTTTGGGGAAAGAAATCTGAAAAATTTATGAGTCAGCTGAGGATTTTAGGGTTCTAGTCCAGTTAATAAGAAAAGGTTAAAACTGGTTTTGTAACTTGCCTGTTCTAGTGAATGAAAGTGGGAGGCTTGACAGGGTATGTGTGGGTATTAAGAAGTTAAGGTGCAGACCAGGAGAAAAGGGTCTTACGTTGCTGCACTGGCCACAAAGTGCACAAAAGAAACATCTGACTAAGATTTAGCCATGGCAGACCTCTGCCTATGTAATTCACTCTCCCAGGATTGTTTGCTAGAGTTTGAAAGCTTCAGGGCATAGAGCAAAAATGCACCTGTTCCAGCAGGTTTCTGCGTGAGGTTTGGGCTTTGTGGGGGTAAAACATGCTGGTTAAGTTCTATGGTCCTTTGTAGCCATTGTGATTTGTTCACTCCAAATGGGTAACAGGGTTTGTATTTATGTGTGGTTTCAAATGGTATGAGAGGCACTGTGGGGTACATGGGGGTGGAGAAGCTGCAATGGTCTCTGGCAATGGATGGTGCTTTAGATAAGCTCCAGGATACAAGTGTAGATTCTACCACCCTTAGTCACATTGAGTAGGACCTTGTTTCATGAGTAGTTTAATTGATATAAGTGAGTCAGCTTGCAGAGTAAAATGCTATTTTGTGTGAGTAAGGGAGGCATCATTGAGCCCTAAACAAAAAATTAAAATTACCAGCAGAAGATACAGAATCTGATGGAAGTAACTATTATCATGGAGATATTTACACTGTGCAGAATTATGTCCCCACCCAGATCTTCAGAGATTACTCAACCTCAGGCCATATCCACAGAGCCGCTGCCATCCTGGGGAATGGGGTCCTGGAGGAAGCTGTAGGAGAGGCCCTAGTTTTGTGTCTACACTAGAGCTGCACTGCCAAGGAGTAGGACCCTAAAGCTAGGGCAGAGGAACAAGGCCTCTGTGAAGTGGATCTTCAGGGCTTGGAAGTGTGATGGGAACCTGGATTGATGGACTAGTTCAATGTGATGATTCCTGGTTAGACATTGCTGAGACAATCCTCTTTTTTTTCAGTATCAGCTGCAAATTGCAGAAGGCAAAGTAGGGACAGGAGTGTTAAGGCTCCAGGTGGAAGATCAAGATTCTCCAAACACACCTGCTTGGAGAGCAAAGTACAAAATAGTGAAAGGCAATGAAAAGGAACAGTTCATCATTGAGACTGATCCTGAAACAAATGAGGGCATTTTAAGTCTCATTAAGGTAATGTTACTGAAGTCATGGATTTGTTATCATATGGCATTTTGGAGCATGTACAGATTGATTGCAATGTTAGTAGTTGGAGCTGCTTGTAATTTGGGATCAGTTACTGCTCTCACTTTTCGAGAGATGATCTTTCCACAGGAAAAGCCATAATTTCTAATGGAAGCTTCTCTTTGGGGTTTGCAGCCTGTGGACTATGAAGGTGACTCAGAGAAGAGACTTGTCATTTCTGTTGAAAACGAAGAACCTTTATCTTCGTGTCATAAAGGAAAACCGAGGAGCCCTCCTGTATTCCCCATTAGTGCATCTGTGGCTGTGAAAGTCCTAGACACAAATGATGCTCCTGAATTTCACCCTCCCACGCTTGCTTTTCAAAAAGAAGAAGGCGTGAAGCCTGGGACAAGGCTTGGAGTATATTCTGCTGTAGATCCAGATGTGGTGCCAAATAAGATAAAGTGAGTGGAGACACTATAAATTCTGAGCTGGGGAAATTGTTAAGGAACATAAAGGAAAGAGCTTTTTAACTTTAACAAAGAAATCTCTACTTAGTGCAGCTGTTCTAAACTGTATATTGGATCACTAGACTGACTGGATACAGCCAACCCTCCAGACTTAGGGCTTGTCTACACGACCCACTGGATCGGCGGGCAGTGATCGATCCAGCGGGGGTAGATTTATCGCATCTAGTATAGATGCGATAAATTGATCACTGAGTGCTCTCCTGTCGACTCGGGTACTCCACCAGAATGAGGAGTGCAAGCGGAGTCGACGGGAGAGTGAGTGAAGACACTGCGGTAAGTAGATCTCCGTACGTCGACTTCAGCTACACTATTCAAGTAGCTGAAGTTGCGTATCTTAGATCGATCGCGCATGGTAGTGTAAACAAGTCCTTAGACAGGAAATATCTAGTTCTGCTTTTGGAAAAGTAAAAATAATGATTCAAATCATACAGTGCTTGCTTGGTCAAAACTCCCATTGACTTCCTCACAATTGAACTGGAATGGAGACTAAACTATCGTCTCACCCTTAACAGTGGTCCCTCCAGGCTCTTAGGTGAGGCATATTAGCACTGGTGTGGGGAATCTTGCATTGCCACCAGCTACACTGAAAATGTTTTGGCTGATAAAAAAAATTGAGTCCCTAGTGAAGCCACCCCACCTCATCACTTTTCATCAACAAGAAACATTAAACAAACAAACAAACAAAAAAGTAAAGTCCCAGAGTGGAAATACCTGAGGCTTAAAAAGATACCAGGAGATGTAATGGAGCTTGTATTTGAGTGCCTAAGACATTTAAATAATTGTGTGGCCTTGGGTTTTTTGTCTTGTTTTGTTCAGATACAAACTAGTTCATGATCCGTCAGGGTGGGTGACTGTTGATGAGAACTCTGGCATTGTTACTGCTGTGAAAGAACTTGATCGGGAATCCTCCTATGTGAACAACAGTGTTTACCTCATCATTGTTCATGCCATAGATGATGGTGAGTTTCTGCTCAGATGGTAGCAAATGAGACAGTTTCTGAGTATGTGCTGTGAGTGTTAGCATCACTGTAGAGAGGGAAAAATAGTCCCCGTAGAGGAAGAGTGGGGATACTCAAGTCAATTGCACAGTGATAAGGTCTTCAGTTGTTGATATGTGTCTGAAAGGGCTTGTCTACACTGGCAATTAACAGCGCCAGTGTAAACAGTGCCCCAGCGCTGGGAGCTACGCCCCTCGTCGAGGTGGTTTTTTTAGAGCGCTGGGAGAGCTCTCTCCCAGCACTGCACCGCGACCACACCAGGCATGTTAAAACGCTGCCGGGGCAGGGCTTTAGTGTTGCCAGTGTAGACTAGCCCTAAGTCTGTCTTTTCAGGACTCCCTGCTTGTTTTGTATCCAGAATGCTGCTCATTTGCATATTTGTTCGGAGGATCAGATTTTCAGTGTCTCCTGTCAAATTCTCCACGCACATGTGTGAAGGATAAAGGCACAACTACCATCACAATATGGCAAATAAACATTCAAAGAAAAGAAATTTCCCAACACCCTCCCGCTTAAACCCTTCCTGCTCTAAAATGAGCTCCACTCTGTCTCCTAATCAGTGCCTCAAGTGAGCACCTGGGAAAACAGGTCAGACTTGTATTGTGCCCTAAAGTTCACCAGATCTGAGCTCTAGAGGACCAAGGGAACGTGACAAGTGGAGGCCCCCCTCAGTGAGAACGGCCCGCTTCTAGCCTCGCTTAGCAGACAAGGTTGCTGTCAGCTCAGGCACCTCAGATGATTGCAACTGTGTTGGGATCTTACAGGGGGAGAGGTAGGGCATTGCAGGTCTCAATCGACACCTCTGATTTCACCCAGACACTAATCAGCTGCAGTACAGGTAATGGATTACAGGGTAGGGCAGTGCTACAATCCCTCATGTACTGATGGGAATGCAGGCACAGAGATGGACTGACTTGTCCAAGCTCACACAAGAAATCTATGGCAGAGCAGGTGTCCTAAGTACTGCACCCTCCACCTTCCTTTTGTACTTCCTTCTGTAATCTCATAACTGGGGCAGGAGATTGGGGGAATGAGAGAGAGGATATGTTCTAGTCCTGACTGTGACCTTGCTGTGTGCCTTTGGAAATGCATCTAACTCCTTGGTATCTCCCCTAAGAAGAAGAGAGGAAGATGATATGTATCTACTTGACAGAAGTATCAAGGGTTAATTGATTATTCCTGGCGAATTGATTATTACTAATAAAGCATATTCTCAGGTCAAAAACACACTATGAAATGACTGACCATGAATCTGAGTGGAGGATCAGTACAGAAAATCCTAATGTCCTTACATCTTGCTAATGTATTTACTTATACAGGGACTAATAGGAAACGAATTGGGCGGGGGAATCGTGTCAGACTCTTGCCAATATCTTGGCCAAGCTCTGTTTTCTCCACCTAGGCGTCCCGCCGAAGACGGGCACTGGTACCATTCTGCTCTATCTGTCTGACACCAATGACCGCATGCCAACATTAGTTACACGTTCCTTGGAAGTTTGTGACAAAGCGAGACTGACTCCTCTCATCGTAAAGGCGGAGGATGACGACTCCCATCCGTTTTCTGGTCCTTTTACATTTAAACTCGCTGATGACTCAAAAAATATAAAGCAAAACTGGAGATTAGGAAAGAGTTTTGGTAAGTTCTTCCTCCAACACACCCTGTGAAACCCCTGCTCACTTCGTCAGCCTGTCACCGTTTAACACAGGCATAGTCATATTTACCATCTGTTATTTAGTCTCACTTCAGTGTTTTCAGTTCTGCATTCCTACCTCGGAATAGATTCAGAGTAAGTCCGCTCTCACTTCAGTGGAGTCACTGGAGTAAACTGAGGTCAGAATCTGTCTTTTAATACAATTGTCCATGATTATAGGCTCAATAGGATTTTGTACCATTCAACTTTCTGCTTTGAGGCCTCTAAAATCTCACATATGGCAAGAAACAGTTTTCTGCTGGGATCATTGACACTGTCACTGTGGAACTGAAAGCATTACACATATTGGAAAGTGATCTCCTATTTTATTGGATAGCGTTATCAGGTACAGGCAGGCACTAAAGAACTGGCACATGCAGTTATCCACTTTGTGCTTGCTGTCTGGGTAGTGGTGTGTGCAAATTAAACACCAAATAGTGAACCTAACCTCACTGACATTCTGTCCCTTTGTGCTTCCAATCAATTTCCCCACTCAGTTTGTATAATTCAGAAGGGCTCAAAATGGAAAAAAGCCACTCCTCCATCAACACTGTGCTTTCAGGCTGTTTATTGCTTTTTTATGTAAGGCTCAGGAGTTCTTGCCTTTCTTCTTTTAGGTGACTCAGTTGAACTTTTAATGTTGAGAAGCCTCCCACGTGGCAAGTATTTGGTGCCTCTCCTAGTTCTGGACAGGCAGGGATTCTCGATGAAGCAGAATCTGTCTGTGAGGCTCTGCCATTGCCCAGATGGACGTGTATGTGAAGAACCGAACTCCGTGTCAGTGAGTCTTGGCGCCATTGCTGTGATTTTGGCAGCTCTCCTGTTATTTCTAGGCAAGATACCTCCTAAAATTTACCCCTCACTTACTCATCACCTGGGTATAAGATCTCATGGGAGCTGCAACCTATTAATATGTGGCATATTGCACCTGCCTTTAAAAGAAACAAGTGGCAGTAAAATGGCCATTTGACTCTCTCAATATGTGTGAGTGCTGTAGCGGTGGAACTAAATAACTGCTCTTTTGTGTCACCACTATTCAGTGGTCTTATTACATTCTGGAGCCACCTTTGCCTTGCAGTGGGAACCATAGCTGTGCTCGTGTAACGACCACTGCAGTCTTCATCTCCAGCAACCAAGAGAATAGTCTGCTAAATGATTTGGCAGAAATGCCATGATGTGCAGCACAATGGCAGATGATATCCAGTGCTGACAAATGAAGGGTAATGGACGTTGGAAGGGGTTATTTCAATGACTCATATGCATGGGGGGGGCACTCTAAATTAACTGTAGCGTTATAAGTTATAAGTTGTAACTTCATCGGATGAAGTGGGTTTTAGCCCACGAAAGCTTATGCCCAAATAAATGTGTTAGTCTCTAAGGTGCCACAAGTACCCTTCATTTTTTTTTGCTGACACAGACTAACACGGCTACCACTCTGAAATTTGTGAAAAGTGTTATTACTGAGCATTTTAGTGCACTGAATGAGGTATACGACGATATTATGATATCAGTGGAGGTAGGGGTTGATCATTGCAGCAGCGGAGATATGTCTGTGGGTTTTGCATCTGTTCTGACAGGGTCTGGTGCAGCTGTGAGTTGGTGTGTCCTAGTCTGTGGGGATCTTTCTTCTGATGATGAGCTTGGAGAGGCTGGGGGATTGTTTGAAGGCCAGAAGAGGGCTTTCAGGAAAGATTTAATTCAGGATGGGGTCCTACTGAGTATGGGTTGTAGTTATTTGATGCCTCTTATGGGTTCCAGTATGGGTGGTAGGTGACAGGAAGGGTTGTGCGGTCAGAGGGTGTTTTATTTCTGTATTGAAGCAGGTTCTTTCTGGGCGGGTTCAAGGATGTGATCCTCCTCTCTGGTGGAGTGTTCTTGTTTGGTGAAGGCAGTTTTCAGTGCGTTAAGGTGTATATCCTGGACTTTCTCCTTGGAGCATATTCGGTAGTATCTGAGTACCTGGCTGTAGATAACAGCTTTCTTGGTGTATTTGAGGTGGTTGCTAGATTTGTGGAGGTAATCTGTGGATTTCTTGTACATAGTTGTCTGTAGGGTTCCATTGCTGAAACTGACTCTGGTGTCCAGGAAGTTGATGCTAGTGCGCGAGTGTTGCAAAGAAAGTATAATGGACAGATGCTGGCTGTTGAAGTTGTGGTGGAAATCTATGAGCAAGTTTAAGTCATCTATACAGAGGATGAAAATATTATAGACATATCTTAGGTTTATCAGTGGTTTTCTGATGCATTTGTCCAGAAACTCTTCTTCAAGTGGCCCATGAAGAGGATGGCATATTGGGGAGCCATCCTAGTACCCACGGCTGTTCCCATGGTTTGGGTAAAACATTTGTTGTTGAATGTAAAGTTGCTATGGGTCAGGATGAAATGGATGAGTTTGGCGATGGGTTCAGGTTGGAGATCTGAGTGTTGTCCAGTGGCAGCGATGCTGTCATTGTGGGGGATGTTGGTGTACAAGGAAGTGACATGCATGGTGGCAAAGATGGGGTCCTGAGGGAAATTGTTAATGTTGTGGAGTTTGTGGGTTGGTTGTGTCCTGGAGGAAGTCTTTTTGTGTGGTGACTGGTTTGAAGATGGTTTCTAGGAGTCTCAATATTCCTTCACTGAGAGTACTGTTGCCAGATATGATGGGTCAGCCTGGGTTCCCTTGTTTGTGTACCTTGGGAAGCATGCAGAAGGTCCCAGTGGTGGGTTCTCTGGGGATGGGTTTGTAGAGTTTCTCTTGAAGTTGTTTGGGGAAAGGATTTGATGATATCCATAAATTCCTGGGTAAACTGTGGTGTGGGGTCTTCTTTGAGTTCTTCATAGTAGGTGCTGTTGGAGAGTTGATTAGACAGAAATTTCCCATAGCGGCAGGTTACTCCACAATTGCCTGTTGTGGGGTTTCTTGCACCTTCCTTTGAAACATCTGGAGCTGACCATTGTCAGTGACAGGATGTTGAGCTAGCTGGACCCCTGGTCTAGTCCAGTCTGATGTTTTCTATGTCACCATTCATTCATTCATGTTTCAGAATAAAAAAGATCTGAAATCTGATCTCTATATTCATGCCTGTGGGGCTGCTTTGAAAGGCTGTGAGGTGTCAGTGGCAATTCTGGTCATTCTTTTCCTGTTTCAGTGGCAGGCTGTCTTCTGCTGCAGTGTTCACGTGGGTCTGAAAGCAGGAAAAGCCAAGCCAATCTCCCTTTTGAAGAAGGCAACCAGACTTTAATCAAGTACAATGAAGAGAGTGAAAACTTTTTGTCTCAGGTGAGCAACTGAGCATGTATCCACCTTCCTATTGTGAGCATCCTGCCAACTCGATACCTGTCTGCCCAGATTATCAACCACCTGGTCTTATCACTCATGTCACCTGTCACTTGGTGTTGAGCAGAACACACCTCCCTTTCTCAGCAGAATGTGGCAGGAAAATGACCATCAGTATTACCATGGAGTCATAGACAGTCCCCATAGAGTCTCCAGTCTATCTTGCCACCCAGACAAACTGGACTTTGTGATTAAAAGGTCACAAATCAAAAATACACCACATCAGGTTGCTCCCAGTCCCAAGAGACCAGTCACTTACCCCATATCAATAGGTACTCCAGATCATACACCAAAGACAACGCTGGCAGCCAATTCTATAGTAAACTAACCACACCGCCAGTTTCCCAAAAGTCTTCTCAGGATACCCAGATTGTCTCATAGAATCATAGAATATCAGGGTTGGAAGGGACCTCAGGAAGTCATCTAGTCTAGTGGTTCCCAAAGCCGGTCCGCCGCTTGTTCAGGGAAAGCCCCTGGCAGGCCAGACCGGTTTGTTTACCTGCCGCGTCCGCAGGTTAGGCCGATCGCGGCTCCCACTGGCCACGATTCACCGCTCCAGGCCAATGGGGGCTGCGGGAAGGGCGGCCAGCTCTTCCCTTGGCCTGCACCGCTTCCCACAGCCTCCATTGGTCTGGAGCGGTGAACCGCAGCCAGTGGGAGCCGCGATCGGCCGAACCTGCAGACACGGCAGGTAAACAAACCGGTCCGGCGTGCCAGGGGCTTTCCCTGAACAAGCGGCGGACCGGCTTTGGGAACCACTGATCTAGTCCAACCCCCTGCTCAAAGCAGGACCACTCCGCAACTAATCATCCCAGCTAGGGCTTTGTCAAGCCTGACCTTAAAAACCTCTAAGGAAGGAGATTCTGCCACCTCCCTAGGTAACCCATTCCAGTGCTTCACCACCCTCCTAGTGAAAAAGTTTTTCCTAATATCCAACCTAAACCTCCCCCATTGCAACTTAAGACCATTACTCCTTGTTCTGTCATCTGCCACCACTAAGAACAGTCTAGATCCATCCTCTTTGGAACTCCCTTTCAGGTAGTTGAAAGCAGCTATCAAATCCCCCCTCATTCTTCTCTTCTGCAGACTAAACAATCCCAGTTCCCTCAGCCTCTCCTCATTAGTCTGTGGCGATCTCTGCTTTGCATCTGGTACACTTCTCTGTACTCCAGAGATCAAGGATCTTTTCTTGAATCCATCTTTAATAGCTTCTCCTGACACAAAACAAGCTGACAGTGTCTCTACCCATTTGGGCTTTTCCTCTGACAGTGAGTAAGGAATGAATTTTGAGTCATTGACCTCCAGTCATCACATACTATGGCCACTTGCTTTGAAATTAGCACTTTTCTGTTAAAGTCCTTCATTAGCATTCCACAAGGCTTCTTTGAAGGGTTATTTAGTTACAGGGGTATTTACAATGTAAATGTTTGCTATTACATTATAACAGGCTACAGATAAGTTAAAAAAATGCATGTAACATCCCATTTTCATAATGCTTAAACACCAAATACATTCTTATACATTTAACAATTACTTTGATCAATACTAATACACAAGTGAATTGACGTGGGGCTTTGGCATGAGCTGGCACCTGGTCTGCCAACGTCACAGATGTGCCTAACACGCGGCCTAAGAAAATGAACCACAGTGAAAAGAATAACTTAAGACAGCCCCTATTTGAAAATAATAAACCTTTAACTAAAATGAGATTGCACTGCCATTCGAAGCACTGTGCTTAGTCACTGATCATTGTCTGAGGCTGACGTTTCTCAAGATTAGTCTCCATTCAGAATAAAACTATTTCCCCTTACAAGATTCTTACCTGTCCAGCCGGATAGTTTAGCAATGTGAGATTGTTGTTTGTCATTGTAGGATGTAAATGTAATGGCACCATCTCCCTCCCTTACATCCAGTCGAGGACACTGTGACCAAGGTCTATGTGTAAGTACACTCTACAAACTAGCATAGAGTATTTTGTGTGTGTGTGGGTGTTGGGTGGGCGGGGGGAATGAGAGGTTAACTGTGGTGGGTTTTATTAACCCAGGGATCTCAAACTCGAATCACCAGGAGGGCCACATGAGGACTAGTACACTGGCCTGAGGGCCGCATCACTGACACCCCCCGCCCCCGCTGCCCCCGGCCCCATCCCCATTCCACGAGGATCCACCCCTGCACCACCTCTTCCCACTCCTTCCCCATCCCCATTCCAGCCCCTTCCCGAAGTCCCCACCCCAACTCCACCCCCTCCCTGCCCCTATTCCAACCCCTTCCCCAAATCTCCACCCCTGCCCTGCCTCTTCTCCGCATCCTCCCCTGAGCACACAGCTCCCTGCTCCTCCCCCCTCCCTCCTGGAAAGCACTAAGTGCCGCCAAACAGCTGTTTGGCAGTGGGAAGTGCCTGGAGACAGGCAGAGGAGCGGGGACGCAGTGCGCTGGAGGGAGGGAGACCGGGGGAAGCTTGGTGGCCTGCAGGAAATAACCGCGTGTTTGAGACCCCTGTATTTACCCCTAATAACTTTCCTGGAATCATGCAACAGTTCCCTGTTTTTAATTTTTAAAGGGTGCCAGCACAATGGTCCAGTCCAGACCAGTAAGCGGCAACCACAGTTCCCATGTAAGTAGAATGTCTTTCACTGTGTTATGCTCACTAATGGGCTCCACAAACTATGTCTGTCTGGGGACAGGTTAAAAAAAATGCAAAGCATAACGCCTTTATTTGGATAGCATAACCCTGAGTTGGTAAACTTCACTTAAAACACTAGGCCTTTGTGAGTAAGGACTACTTGTGTGAGTAAATATTGGCAGGATCAGGTCCTGCCTTTGGTGTCTTTAACTAAAAGGAATGCAGTGAATTCTTTTGATTCACCATGTTTATGATAGTCGTCCCAAAGGACCAACCAAGACTGGGGCCCCATCGTGCTTGGTGCTGTACAAACACAGTGTAGCAGATGGTGCCTGCCCAGATGAGCTTGCAATCTAAATAGACAAGACACGTGTAACGCCGACAGACCCCTGTCATCAGCAGGCAAGATCGAACCGGGGACCTCTGGAGTTTAGTACATGAGCCTCTACTGCATGAGCTAAAAGCCAACTGCCTGTTAGCTAAGGCTGTAGAGCAGACTCATTTTTACCCCTCTCTGTCGAAGTGGTCTTGGTGCCACTAGATGGGACAGGACACCACACCTAGGAGGTGTGTGGGTTACACATGCACAGGAGAAATGGCTATACCATACAGTGAGTGCCGAGGAATTTGTTCAGACCAGAATGACACTTGTAAAATCTTGATGCAGGGGCTATGGCCTTGCCGAGGTCCAAGGGTTTGTCTCTCTTTCAGGGGGTCCAGTATTCGAGGCATGTGGAAACACTCCACAGAAGACCCCGCAATGAGATGGTACGAACAGCGGGTGACATGTTGAATCAGGTAGGAAATGGCTGGTTTGGAACGCCGTGGTATTGTCCGTGGGTCCTGGCTGTGGAGCACGGGCTGCCGTGGGAACTTTCCACTTCGGCTGCAGCCGCTCGTAGGAGAGACACACCTGCCGGGAATGGCAAAAGGGGCTAGGGTGTGTAAAACGGGCATTAACTCGCAGCAGAATCCAAACCCCTGGCTAAGAGCAAGGTACAGAAGTGGGGGGAGTGTGAGGAGGGGCCACTTACAACACTCTCTGAGCCTTTGCTGAAGAGTTCGTGTCTCCAGCACTTCTTGCTGTGCCATTCTGGTCACCTACAAGTTACCTGGACACTTGTCTGTCTGTCACATGTGCACCTTTTCCTTTCGGGACAGGCACTGGGCACTGCAGTGCTTCCCATTAAACCAGGTAAAGCCAGGTTCCTTGCTCTTTCCGTTCTGTACTGGCGGGGGAACTAGTAATTTTTCATGCTTTTTGTATTTCTTATGATAGCTTCCCTGTGCTATTCTATTGCAGCGCTGCTCCCAGGGCGCTCTTTGGCATAGCCGATGTGCCTGTCTGCATACTGTGCCTTAAAGGGGCTGGCTGGTTGGGTGGGAGTGACGAGTATTTCTTATAGTATCACCATGGGACTTCTTGCTGACCTGCTACTTATGATGAATCCCACTGGTTTCCAAAGGGGTGTGAAAGACGGAGTCTCCAGGGAGATTTTGTTTTCTTATGTGTTCCCTTTCCCTTCCTCAGAGGCTCTATCACCTCAGCAACCTGGAGGAGAACATGGTCATGTACCAACCTCACATATATGCCGAGGAGGGAAAGCTAGAGATAAGCGGCTCCTTCAGTTCCCTGCTCACTGTTGACGATGAACTGCCCAAGGACTTCTTGGACACCCTGGGACCAAAGTTTGCTGCTTTGGATGAAATCTGCCGGAAATGATTTCAGTCGCAGCCGGTCTCATAGGAACAATGGAATGGTGGGGACCTTTTTCCTCCTGCCCCCATGAGATACAGAAAGACCTGTCATTATTGTCAGCCTGCCATTGTTTTGCCAGCGCTGAATATTGTGTCTTCATCTTCTGTGTGGAGGGGCTAGGGCAGCCCACGAATTGGAATGTCGGAGGAAACCAGGTCACCAATTGTTTGGGCCCTGTATCATTCTTGAGTCCTGCAGGTATCTGCTCTCACCCCTCAGAGAGCTAGAGATTGAAATAATCTAGAAATAGGAAGGTGTTTTAAAATCCATGGTGTTTGACGCCCATGTAGGGCTGTAGAAGTGGACGAAAAGCCACCATCCTGATGATATTTACAGTAGATCTGCTGGGAGTTCAGATCACAAAGCAAGCACAAATTCTGGTAAATGCTAGGTTTTTGATTAATAAGAAAGCAAAGGTCGTTTCCAGCTAGTCCTGAATTTGTGAGGCAGCTGGCTCGTCTTCCACCCACAGATGCTGGCTCGCACCCATTTTGTATGGGCAAAGCCTGTCTTTGTACATTCAAAATAGGCATCAGTTCACTTCTGTGTGTCCAGGCCTGTTGCATAAGCAAGCACGCAGAATCTGGAGGTGGGCCCTGAAAGTTTCCCCTGTATGGCTAGAGAGGAGCAAAGTCCTAGCAGTGGCTCAGTACCTGGGGTGGTTTGCTTTGGCAGAGCAAATAGACGGAAGTGCCCACAAGGTTCCCAACCAGAGCATGCTAACTGAGTAACTTTCTGGCTGCACTGTTCCAGGGACATGCTGAGCTCTTCGCTGGGGCAGATGCATTCTGGTGAAATGGGAATCTTGGTACATGCATAAGATGATCTGAGGGTGCGGGAGAAAGGTCTCTCAAAGATTGCAGTACAAATACATCCATTCAGTGAAATGCTAGTTTGTCAGAGTGTAATGGACTGGCCAGTGTGTGGGAGACCCACTTGAACGTACATTCATGTGTTGCCTCCAGGGTCTGGAGACTCACAGGGGATATATCAGCAGCCAGTCAGGGGAGTAGGGGATTCTCCTTCAGCTCCTGTCGGATAGCCTGTATGTTGGGAGCAGGAGGAACAAAGCTCTGATCTGTGCTGCTTGGTGCAGCATAGCTGGTGGTTGCTTGCTGCGGGTATGTGACTTGTTACAATCTGACAACAGTGAGTGCAGAACTTAGTCTTGTTATGGACAGACGAGCACATCGTCTTGTCCTGTCTGAACAAGGATCTGCCTGGGTGGGGAACATGTAACTCTTTTGGGGCAGGTGACTTTCTGAGTCTGGAAGTGGATTTTAATTGACACTAGTGAGTTTGTTAATGACTTAGATGTTTTCTTTTGTACATATACTTTGGGGAGTCTTGTTGGGAGATAACCTCATATGTTCACACACACACACACGTATGTATACACATATATAAATATGTTGTAATACGTTATAGGCTATTTGAGGCCTTGTGTGAGTGAAGTGCGCTTGACATGAGTACGTGAGTTGTGTGCTGGCAACAGAAGCAAGGATTTAAGGTTGTGAGCGGCCACGGACTGTTTGTGTGAAACAATTTGTTGTGTCCAGGGGAAAGATAAAGAATCAGCAGAAAAGGGAATAACAGTGGTGGTGTTGTCATAGCAATGTATCCGTTAGAGCCGTGGACAAAAATTGGGGGAAATGAAACACCTTGGATTATGCCCAGGATGGAGTTGTGGGTGAAAGGCCCAGTGAACAGAAACAAAGGACTGTTGACATGATGGAATGGACTATACATCTATATACATCTGTAACTTGGAGTCAGACATCGATCCAGAGCCCTAATTTTGAAGAGCTATGCTAGCCTGCTCCCCATGCCTTGATTGATTGGAGCGGACCTCAACTGGCCATTGGGACTTGGTTCTAATCTTCAGACTCTGGTGCAGTATGTTTAGGGTGTGAATGTGGAGTGAGTGAGATTTATATTGTAACCAATAAAAGTATTTAGAGTATTATATACGAACACTGTGTCCAGTATCTGCCTGCTCCCCTATCCTGTAGAGAGGCCTCTATCAGAGCCTAACAGTCTGAATCGGGCTTTTTATGTATCTAAAATAAACATATGCTCCTGCTCGTGCGCGACCCCTGACCTCCTCTCACAAGTGCCCCCATGTGGAATTCTCTTCTGCTTGATACCCACCCAGGTCCACCTTTGTTACACTTCAGGGCAAGACTCAACCTTTTATGTTCCTGTTCACATTGTCCTGTGTCTTTATGCTGTTTACTCTAGGTCCGACTGTCCTGCACACCTGCTGGAGAGGGTGCAGAGGGGCCACACAATAGGGACTCAACATCTCACTTCCATTTTGCCAGGGGTTGGCATCTTCTGTTTACAAATCTGTTTCTCAAATTCCCATCCGGTTTTAGCACCAGGTGACAGTGGAGTGGACTTGAAGTGAACACCATATGCTAGCACACCTCTGTGTCGCTTTGCAGAGACTCAATTTCTACCAAACGTGGGCATATCACTAAATGAAACAGCCACAGAACATAACGGCTGGCTACTCTGCTATAGGGCTTTTACACGCACCCATTTCTGTGTTCTTGATTTAAGCTTTTCTATCCTCTTATCTAGTCTCATGAGTCATAGAGATAATGGCTCAGTGGTGTTGTGTCTCATTCAGAGCTTCAGTCAGCTGCAACACTAAGTGCTAAAAAATAAAACACTATGTCATGGTAGTATGTTACCCCTATAAATCCCAGGCCTCTTGTTGATGTTCCTACACTCACTGCTTGCACCTCTGCAGCAAGAGAGATCATCTGTTATCTGGAAAACCCATCTTTATAGTGAGAAACAAAAGGAGCGCAAACTAGTTACCTTATTAAAGAGAGCATAAGCAATGACTTGATCACAGTCAGGCATTATCTGACACCAAAGAACCTTTTTAATCTGGCAGACAAAGGCAAAAGAAGAGCCAGGGGCTGGAAGTCAAAGGCAGTAGAAGTCAGACGGGGAATAAGACACCGTTTTGAACAGCGAAGGTAACTAACCATTGGATCTAGTAGCCAGGGATGTGATAAATGCTCCATTAGTGGGAGTTTTTAATTCAAGAGTGAATGCCTTTCTAAAACTCTACACTCTAGTTCAATCACAAGTGATTGACTAGATGCAGGAATCACTGGTGAAATTCTGTGGCCTGTGCTATACAGGAGGTCAGTTTAGAGGATCATAATGGTCTCTTCTGGCCTTGAAGTGTATGACTATCTAAGAGGCAACGTACTTCTACTGCTACTACAATTACAATTAATTTTATCCGATGCCTTTGCAGCATCTTCGAAAAATTATTTGAAAGGTTTGTAGCATCTCTGCCATATAGTATCAAATTGTAACATTTTAATATGTAAAAAGAAAAGGAGTACTTGTGGCACCTTAGAGACTAACCAATTTATTTGAGCATGAGCTTTCGTGAGCTACAGCTCACTTCATCGGATGCATACCGTGGAAACTGCAGCAGACATTATATACACACAGAGATCATGAAACAATACCTCCTCCCAGCCCACTGTCCTGCTGGTAATAGCTTATCTAAAGTGATCATCAAGTTGGGCCATTTCCAGCACAAACCCAGGAACTTATCCTTGCAACAAAGCCCGTTGCCAACTGTGCCCACATATCTATTCAGGGGACACCATCACAGGGCCTAATAACATCAGCCACACTATCAGAGGCTCGTTCACCTGCACATCCACCAATGTGATATATGCCATCACGTGCCAGCAATGCCCCTCTGCCATTTACATTGGTCAAACTGGACAGTCTCCACGTAAAAGAATAAATGGACACAAATCAGATGTCAAGAATTATAACATTCATAAACCAGTCGGAGAACACTTCAATCTCTCTGGTCATGCAATCACAGACATGAAGGTCGCTATCTTAAAACAAAAAAACTTCAAATCCAGACTCCAGCGAGAAACTGCTGAATTGGAATTCATTTGCAAATTGGATACTATTAATTTAGGCTTAAATAGAGACTGGGAGTGGCTAAGTCATTATGCAAGGTAGCCTATTTCCCCTTGTTTTTTCCTACACCCCCCCCCCCAGACGTTCTGGTTAAACTTGGATTTAAACTTGGAGAGTGGTCAGTTTGGATGAGCTATTGCCAGCAGGAGAGTGAGTTTGTGTGTGTGTGTGTGTCCCCGGGAAAAAGGGGGGGAGGGTGAGAAAGCCTGGATTTGTGCTGGACATGGCCCACCTTGATTACCATGCACATTGTAGGGAGAGTGGTCATTTTGGATGAGCTATTACCAGCAGGAGAGTGAGTTTGTGTGTGTGGTTTTTGGAGGGGGGTGAGGGGGTGAGAGAACCTGGATTTGTGCAGGAAATGGCCCACCTTGATTATCATGCACATTGTGAAGAGAGTTGTCACTTTGGATGGGCTATTACCAGCAGGAGAGTGAGTTTGTGTGTGGGGGGGTGGAGGGTGAGAAAACCTGGATTTGTGCTGGAAATGGCCCAACTTGATGATCGCTTTAGATAAGCTATTACCAGCAGGACAGTGGGCTGGGAGGAGGTATTGTTTCATGATCTCTGTGTGTATATAATGTCTGCTGCAGTTTCCACGGTATGCATCCGATGAAGTGAGCTGTAGCTCACGAAAGCTCATGCTCAAATAAATTGGTTAGTCTCTAAGGTGCCACAAGTACTCCTTTTCTTTTTGCGAATACAGACTAACACGGCTGTTACTCTGAAACATATTAATACGTAGAGCTCTGAAAATCTGCAGATATCCACTTTATATCCACTGACCATGTTTGCAGATCGTGGATGGATGCAGATCCAAATTTTGTATCTAGAGCCCTGCAAAACTGTGGATAGCTGCTTTATATCTATGGATATCCATAGACCACGTCTGTGGATAGGATGCAGATACAAATTTTGTATCCGTGCAGGACTCTATTAATGTGCACTTTCTGCATTGTGACGTCACAGGTACGCTGCCACCTGGTGGTTGTCCATGTTGTTACACTTTTGTGAATGTAACACTCTTAGTAAAAAGTGACTTGCTAAAGCTGCAAAAAGAAAAGGGGTATTTGTGGCACCTTAGAGACTAACAAATTTATGTGAGCATAAGCTTTCGTGAGCTACAGCTCACTTCATCGGATGCATACTGTGGAAAATACAGTGGGGGGATTTATATACACAGAGAACATGAAACAATGGGTGTTACCATACACACTGTAACGAGAGTGATCAGGTAAGGTGAGCTATTACCAGCAGGAGAGCGGGGGTGGGGGGAGCCTTTTGTAGTGATAATCAAGGCAGGCCATTTCCAGGGTCTCTAAGGTGCCACAAGTACTCCTTTTCTTTTTGCGGATACAGACTAACATGGCTACTACTCTGAAACTTGCTAAAGCTGCTGTTTTCTTAATGCTAAGAACCATGAACAGCAGCAGTGGGCATGACTGTCCGCTTTCTCCAAAACACCTGTTTACACAGAGAGAAACTACATGTTAATTGTGATGGAGAAAAAATGCAATAGGCTTCCTCATGCATCATTGCAAAATTCTTGATACTAATGGGAAAGCAAGAAAAGGATCATGGAGATTTCCTCAGGCTACACTGATAGTATATATTGTATAACAGTGTGCAGTGTACACAGATGCGTGCACACACACACGCACTCTAACATGACAGTGGAGCTGTGTTATGACACTGATGTTCATGAATGAGGAAAGGGAGGATATCTGCAAAAGCTACTCCACAGCCACGAGTGAATGAACATGTGCAGAAGATGGAGTCAGCTGTAACCTCACTTCTCTGTTGTGTTCTTTCTTCATGAGAAAAGCAAAATGCTCCATCAGAAGTAGATCTGAAGTCCAGTATCTCAGATCCCGCACTCTCATTTCAGAGTTTACTCCACCTATCAATCCCTTCGCTCAGATGCCATTAATCCGATATTCAAAGCTGAAAATCTTCAATCCAGTGTGATCAAAGAACTTTCACTGATGGGCAAGGAGCTAAAGTTTTCTAAATGCCTGAGGCAGGATCTGCTAACACAATAAATCATTACTCTGATAATTTGCCTGTAACTAATCATTGCAGCTGGGAGCCTTTAGATCAAGCCCAGTGCTTTAGTCAGCCTCCAGCAAAGTATCAATACCTACGAGGGCTGTTTTATTACAAACTGTTCCCCTGGGAGTGAGATTTGAGTTGGGATGTCTTTTTTCTGTTTAGGGTGCTGAAAACTAAAATAAAATAAAAAAAAAACAAAACACGCCCCCCACACACAATTAAAGAAAGGCGTGTGTATGGTCACTATTCACATGTACTGGGTGTGTAGCATACTGTAGTCAGATATAACACACACAGACTCGATGGGCATAAGAGGGGGTCAAACCCACCATCTTTGAGCTAAGAGAAAGTACAGGGCTGTATAAATGACGGGGACCCACCATTACAGGCCATTCACCATCACATGTACTATGCCAACCTTTACCTACTCCATAAAATAATACCAGTGAGTGTTACAGCGCCCCCCAGCAAAGGACCTCAAAGCCCTTTACACACGCTAAATCAATTTAACCTTCCAACAACTCAGTGAGCTATGGAAGTAACACCCCTACCACAGAGAATGGAAACTGAGGCAAAAAACAGATCCTTCCTTGGCCAAGGACACAGAACATGCCCGCGTCAAAGCCAGGAATGGAACTTGGCTCCCCCGACCCTCAGTCCTGGGTTTTAAGTACAAGACCTTTCTTTTCCTTTTCACAGTGACTAGAGCAGGTTCCTTGCCTCTAATGCTGCCTCTTACAACCAGACTTTTTATCTGTCTAAGGTACTTACATGGGCTTCATTACTGTGGTGTCCAGGCACCTCACAATCTTTAGTGTACTTATCCGTGCAACACTCCATTGAATTAGGGCAGGGCGGTTATCTCCATGCTACAGACAGGGAGCTGAGGCCCAAGAGTGAATGCCTTGCCCA